GCGACCGAGTATATTCTCGTCGGAATGTCAACTTTTTCCCCTTAAATCGAATTCAAATTGTTTTTCCGGAAAATTTAGCCAATTCTTTTTAATAGTGTACTCAATATAATCACAGATAAGAAATTAATTCTCAAATAAAATGTTAACGATGATATGATGGCAATTCTGTAACTTAGAGACAAAATATTTTTTTTTTCCATCGTTATTTTATATTGCTTCGACCCGGTTAGAGTATACTGCGATGATGATCAAGACTTTAAATGGTTAGATCGCACCATTCTACCCGGCCGGGATTTGAACTCGGAACCTCTCGCATGTGAGGCAACGAACTTACCTACTGCGCCAAGCCACCGGGACCGAACAAAATATTTCTCGATAAAATTTCCTTTATGAGAGATATTTTCATCTAATCGTGTGAGGATGAAAAGGCATCGTCTCGTGTTAATAATCAGCTTCTTGAGCCCAATATTTAATTGTTCATTAAAGTAGTGCGACTATTTATATATAGACTGAAATTCCAATTAAGCAATTCAATTTTTGAGCATTTTTAATTTGCAATTGGTTTGGTCCGAATAAGACGTATTTAAGAACATGTCCGTTTTTCCTACAGTGCAGAGAAATGTTTTATTTGAATTCGATAAACGTTATTTCGATCAAATTAATGGGTTTGTTTAAATAGTTCGTAATAAAACATCCATTCAAACTTGAACTTAAACTTGAAATACGAAGCGTGTGTGAAGTGCCAGTTTACAGGCTGGCGTGCTACAAAGTGGACTTTTCAAACAGAACTCACAAAATAATATATTGCGCACCAAAGGAGGAAAACAGGATGAAGCCGAGGGCAGTAAACACGTAGGTTCTGATGTCCTATTTTCCTTGCTAGGTGCACATATTATACAGTCCGACAAAATTTCGACCTCGGCTCTCTCAGAGATGAAATTATTCGCATTAGATAAATTTAATTCCGCTGATTCTGAATCGGTTAACAGAATTCCTCTAGGCCTTCTAGTTCTAACCCTCGATCACTCGCTCAACGAGTTTTCGGTGATTTTGGGAACTGTAAATTGTTTTTTTTTTTTAACTAAAAGGCTCAGAGGAATTCTATTACCGGATTCAGAATCAGCGGAATATAATCCTTCTAGTGCGGGTAATTTCATCTCTAGGAGAGCCAGGGTCGAAATTTTGTCAAACTGTATTATTTTTTGCCCCAGCGGACGCAAAGTACACATTTTCTACGCCACGGCTAAAAATACGGTTCTAACCACGGAAAGGAAAATACAGGACCCTTACCCACGTATTTATCACCCTCGCCTTCGGCCCGGGTGGTAATTTCGTATGTGGGGCCGACTTATTTATTTTACCTCTCCAAGTTAGAAATACACTATTATCATTTCGCTCGGTCAGATGGCGGTTTTCGGGCCCAATGACATAATAGTATATTTCTCACTTAAGGAGGTAAAATGAAAAAGTCGTGCCCATGTGCGGAATTACCACCCGAGCTGAGGGTGATAAGCACGTAGGTAAGGGCCGTTGTTTACTCTACTTCCCGTGATGAGAATGGTATTTTTCGCCTTGACATAGGCGCCGGCCGGGGCGAAAAATATTGTATACTACACGGCGATAAAAGTATGACCCGTCTCATGTGATTATAATCCTCACCATCAGCTCGAATTATAAAGTCACATTCGTCTTCCTCTCCGATCATAAAGTCACTTTTGTCGCCTGATGACATAGTGTAGTATTACTTCATAACTGCACGGTAAAGTTCGATTTCTCTTTATAAATGCAAGGAAAAACGTAGATTATGTAATTCCGAGGATCGTCGCAAACCACAGAAATCAGAGAAATGAAATCAGCCACTTCCTGCAGTCAGTTGAGGAGGAAAATTGAACTTTCCATGCAGATATAAGGAATTACATTTTTTCTCAAATATTAACAAAAAAAAATTAATGAAAAACTCCGTTGCTCATTCAAATACAGAAGAATTTCACTATTTAGAGATCTACATTGATAAAAGTAATCCATAAGCCATTTTCTACACTTCTTCTTAAAGTTTAAGAAAAATCACTGTAGCTCAAAGATCAAAAACAATGGACGATTTTCAACGCTTTAAGTGTCTGCGAGGACAATTTTTTTAGCTAATTCTTCATTTTTAGGCATATAGTATAATCGATCTTTAACTTAGGTGAAATCTCACTCCAATAACCCGGGACTTGGGAAACTCATAGTAGTCTCCCCCTAATTTTAATAATTGGAATGAAATGAATGGTTTTTTTGATACTAATAGAGAATTTATTTACAATAAATGAATTATTTATCTCACATAATTGAAACATTTTCATTGTAATGAATCGTCGTCATAGAGCCAAAGGGGCGTAAAAACTATCCTTATCCATACCGCTTACGTCCTTTTGATTACGCGACAGCAAAATAGATGAGTTTATTAATTTCCAACGAACATGTAGTTGAAATAAATAGGAAAATTTTACATAAAAAGTTTCAAATACATCATTTCTCTGGGTGTACTACTGTTCAAAAGAGTGACATTGAATTTGATTTACGGAAAAAATGTTCATGAAATTTCAAATGGAAATCAAACGTTAATTTCACAGCTTACTTGAATATTTCATTAATTTAAAAGTCAAGAGCGTATTCACCTGATTCTCCTTAATTGAAATGACATTCAGTTCTCATTGATTTTCTTCTAATTTGATGAGACAATCAATGGAATATATGATTTTTCAATGACTGAATTCCCTGAAATGGCAATGGAAACGTTTCAATAAAATGGTTTTTGAAAAAATTACCCTGTTGGGCTTTTTCTACAAACACTGAGGAATTTCACTTGAATATGATTCATCATGTTTAGTGAACTGTAAGACCTATCAATTGCATGCATGTTGACTGTCAGTTCTTGAGCCGAGGAATTTCCGTTAAAAACATCACAATATACACGGAGAGAAATTTTCTAGAAAAATTCTAGTACGAGTTTTCCCCAATAAAATTTCTAGTGCCGGCACTAGAATTTTTCCTGACCGTCACTTTGCGCCTCTTTTCCCGTGCTAGCACTAGAATTTTTCTAAAAAATCTCTCTCCATGTAATAAGTTGCATAGAACAATTCAGCTCTGTTGATTTTTTCTATAGAATATTTCTCGTTGAACATTTACAATAAAAAAACCGCCCAGATAAGCTGCTGAATGTTCCAATAGAATTGGAATCGAACAGAATTCTCTAGCGAATTCGCTAGGTCTATGAATTTTTTTTATTCGTGGATTATTCCTAGATTGGTCACCATAGGAGTGAAACCCCGCAACGCATCTATTTTCATTTATTATTATAATATTACAGTATTGTTAAAAATGATTTGTAGCCAAAATTCCTAAAGAAAAACAATTGTTTCGAACAGACGAATAATTTTTCCCATGTTAAGGATATCCAAGTAGTTCGCACACTTTTTTCTGCTTGAAATCCTCATCAAAGTTTATAGAATAGAGCAAGAGTATTTTTTAGGCGCAATATCAACCTCAGTTTCCGAATATTTTTTCGAGAGAAGAATTTTGAAAAAAATATAATTTAACACATTACATCCATAAGAGCTGTACACTCCCCCCTTCAGTCCAATCATTTATAGTCTTAAACCGTTTTCGCGTACACAACCATATATGACGTTCGTTGTATTCTCTAGCTTTTTTTACGACATTGAAAAACATGAGTTTCCGGACAGATAGTTGCAAACAATCAAATCAAATACTTTTTGATTGGTACGACGGTTTGAATCCGCGCATTCCTGACGTCTGGCAACGGTCCGATTAAGTGTCTACTCGGACATAATCTGTTCCACTCCATCAAATATTTTCACGTGGAAAATATAGTTTTTCGGCAGAGCTAATTATTTCTTTCAGTATTAACGAGGTTATATGGATCACATGTGCGCTGTTGTCGTATGATAATTATAGGTTAGACAAAAAAGTGTAAAGTGTGTAATTGAATAAAATATTGTTCACAGTATTCAGTGAAGAAATTCATTCAACAATGGAAAATTCAAAAAGGTATGGCGATGGCAAAATTTTCGACAAAACTGAAATATTGCTTGAAACAATGATGCTAACTTGAACGAAGTACTTGGATATCCTGAAATGAAATCTCACATCGTGCGACGTTGCCGGAAACTCTAAACATGGTAACCGCGCCCGGGCAGTGTAAAGTAAATTTGACAACGCGCAAGTCTAAAGGAAAGTCTACAATAAACGCGCGTCATTCGTTTGCGTCACATTGCTAAGGTAATTAATACATCTATATTCATTGCAACGCAACGCAAATGGAGGATGCACGTCGATTGTACACGGAGAGAAAAACGAACAAGTTCTCAAACAAGTCTTGTTTGGGCCAACAAAATCGTTAGTTGAAAATTACCAAAAAACTAGTTATTTGGTTTGAATTTGAAAGTCTCAAATATGAATAATTGCTCTGCTTTCAACAACAACGAAATATTTGGTTTAAGAGGCGGATCATTCATTCAAGACAGTGCCTTTTCAGGATAAAAATATATTTTATAGAGGGAAGCTTATCAAGAAATATTTTGTCCGTATGTTACAAGATTGCTGTCATATCATTATTATTATTGCATTTAAGAATTCATTTTTTGTCTGTGATTATTGAATAGCCGAAATGACATTTTTTTGAAAAGACTAAATATATTTTTGCAATCAAAATTTTCAATTTCGGCGCACTCTTCGCATGTTTGGCTCAAAAATCCATTTTTGATCATTTTTAACAAATGATTTACTGATACAAGTAAGACTTGTTTCAGAATTCTGCTGTTTTTCTCTCAGTGTAGACTCTCCCTAAGTAATACAACGGTGAATCCGTGCGGAGGTGACAAAGTCACAAATTCGCATATAGTGATCAAACTAGGGTTAAANAGAACCCCCCCCCCCCTGTTTTTGTTTTTGAAATTATTTTACATTATGAGCGGGCAGCCATTATGCATTAACTTCAGGTGGATTTTACTCTGGCTCGGCTACCCTTGATGTTTACGACGCCAAGACAATCGTCTCTGAGGAGAACATCATACTCGTATCCATGCAATACAGGGTAGCGAGTCTCGGCTTTCTTTATTTCGGCACGGCAGACGTGCCTGGCAATGCTGGACTGTTTGACCAGACAATGGCACTACAGTGGATCAGGGATAATATAGCAGCTTTTGGGGGCAACCCCGAGAATATCACGCTTTTCGGTGAAAGTGCCGGAGCCGTCTCCGTATCCATGCATCTACTTTCACCATTATCTAGGTAACCAACTATTCATTATTATTATTTTCATGCTTCTACCCATTTGTTTCGGGCGCCATTTAGTTCTCATTGATGATTCAATTGGTTTTATTGATTGAACTCTTTGGAAAGAATTATTGGAATTGTTTGGGTGGTGCTTCATCGATTACCCACGATGAATAAATGACAGCGATGATTTTCAGGAACTTGTTGGAATTCTCATTGTTTCAATGTTTTCAGCCATTTATCGCATGATTGATTCGTTTTAAATAATGAGAGAACCGAAAATTCAAGACATTTTTATATTTCTATAATAATTCTATAATTTTAAATTTCTACAATTTCCGAAACATATGCAAAACTTTTTTATAAATAAATAAAATTTAATGTGTATTGTTTAATTTCCTGACTCAATATGATTGTAATGACTCAGGGATTCCTTCAAATTCTCATCGATTCAAATGTTTACAGTATTTAGCAACACTTGAAATGATTCATTCGTTTAAATGATAAGAGAGACGAAAACTCATGTTATTCGTCAATTCTGCAGCCATAAAGTTGAATTTGTATAATGATTCCTCAGTTATGATTTTTCTCACTTATGCGTAATGGGAAATTTTACACATTCTTTACGTGCGCGAAATCTCACTTTCCACGCATTGTGATGAAAAATAGGGTTCGATACTCATGGGAAAAGTGTTCTTTGAATATTGCGAGGGTAGCGCTTGCCTCCGACATGCGCTGCACACCTCCCACGGGTCAAAAGACACTGTTACGCACTCGTATCGAAATATACTACTTTGACACTGCTGCTACGTTTACTTCGTGCCAAAAAGTGCCTTTTTGTTTACTCGTAAAGGAAAAGTTTTTTCGTTTACTTGCAAACGAAAAAGACACACTGTGGCCACTCGCTGAATCACTGTTAAAATTGTATATTTCGATACGAGTGAGACGAAATTTCCACGAGTGGGAAGCTGCCAATCACACGAGCTGAAAATTCCCGTCTCACATGTGTCGAACAATATTTTTTGACAGTAATATTATAATCAGCGAGTGGCCGAATTCGTAGCGACCGTAGCAGGAGTGTCAAAAAATATTGTTCGCATGTGAGACTCACTCGTATCGAAATATTCTATTTCATATGATGCTTTGCGTGCACAAACCTCCACTTCATACGCATTGTACTGGAAAATAGTGTCCGACACTCTTGGAGAAAGTGTTCTTTGAAAGTGTTCTTATGATACAAGTGAAAAAGAGGGCACTTTTTGCACGCTTCGCGCACAAAGAGCCGGCTTTTTCGCACCAGTATCATAAAATATCGCACGATATATATGAAAAAAAACTCGCCTTCGGCTCGGCCTGTAACCCTTTCACTCGTCAATAACTATTCTTTTTCATCACACTGTCCGTAAAATATCGTTTACACTGGCGTTTACACCGGACAATTTGAGTCCGTTAAACCCCGTTTACGGACATTGTGAAGGAAAATTATATTCGTCACTCGGCCAAAAACAACTTCTCTGACTCATGTGATTGCATTCCTCGGTTTCGCCTCGGTCCGCAACCTTCATACTCGTCAGAAAAGTTTGTTCGGCATTGTGACGAAAATAGCTATTTCACTTGTATCGTAACATACTATTCCCGAGAGGAGCGTGCGTAAAACATCAATTTATACACAGAAATAAAATTTTAGCAAAAGTTAGTGTGCTATTCACCAACACATGGGACCAAACCATGTTTACTAAAAAATTCGAATGTTGCACCCGAATTTTTAAAAGGAAATGTAGCATAAGATGTTCAGCAATTAGAATGCCCTATTTGAATTTTTTGGTGGACCATCTGAATTTTGTGGTGACCCCTATTTAGTCCCACGGCTAGTGGGTAACACACTAATTTTTGTCATGTATTTGTCTCTCAGTGCACACAACTCGGAGAAAAAAAATCCCATCGATTTATTATTTATCGACTAATTTAATATGATAACAAAATTTTTCAGAAACTTATTCAATCAAGCGATAATGCAGTCCGGTTCGCCAACAGCCCCCTGGGCGATAATATCCCGTGAAGAGTCAATAGTACGCGGACTGCGGCTAGCTGAGGCAGTGGAGTGTCCGCACGATCGGAATGATCTTCAGAAAGTGATTGATTGTTTGATGGAAAAAGATCCACGGGTACTCGTGAACAATGAGTCGGGTACACTCGGTATATGTGAATTTCCATTTGTCCCGGTTATTGATGGTGCTTTTCTCGATGAGACACCGGGACAATCACTGGCAACATCATCATTCAAAAAAGCCAATATCCTCATGGGCTCAAACTCTGACGAGGGCTTTTATTTCATTATTTATTATTTGACAGAACTATTTCGTATTGACGGAGCTGAGGATGTTAAAGTGTCACGCGAAGAATTCGTCAAAGCTGTGGCTGAATTAAATCCGTATGTGAATCAATTTGGAAGACACGCGATAACGTATGAGTACACTAATTGGTTGCATCCTGATGATCCGGACGCTAATCGTGATGCATTGGATAAAATCGTTGGTGATTATCAGTTTACGTGTAATGTTAATGAATTTGCTGGTCGTTATGCTGAGACTGGTAATACAGTGTATATGTATTACTATAAGCACAGATCATTGCATAATCCATGGCCGAGGTGGACTGGTGTTATGCATGCCGATGAAATAAGTTACATATTTGGTGAGCCACTGGATTCCAGTAAAAAGTACACCAAGGAAGAGGTACATTTGTCCAAGAGAATGATGCGTTATTGGGCCAATTTCGCCAAGACTGGGTGAGAAAATATTCATTAACTTTTTATCAACATTTCATTCATTTCATCATTTCATTTCATTCTATTTTATTACAGGATTTCATTTTTTATCATTTCATTTCATTCTATTTTATTACAGGAGGATAGGGCAAAACGGTAGAAACCGATAGAAAATTGATAATTCTCGTTTTTGCTTCCGCATGGAAGCTTTCCAATCGTAATTTTTTTTAATTTCTTAATTTTGGGTGAAAATGCCTAGAAATGTCATGAAACGTGAAGAAATGATATTTTTACAAAATTTTTGAGAACAAAAAATTGACACATCTATAGTTCACCTTTCATTTTCACATCAGAATAAGTGAGAAAAACATACAACATGAACATATGGTTTTATTTTTTGAAAACAAGCATTGGGACCCACCCATTCAGAAGGACTGAAATTGGCAGAAATGAAAATAGCAGAAAAAAATACGTGGAGAGTAACAGTCATATGTAATCCCCCGTGTAGAAATCTTTCCGCTCAATCCCCGCTTGCTATACAGTCATGCCGGGGCTCAGCGATCGGTCCGAGCGCGTGAGCGGAGGTTCAGCCGCATCCCTGCTTGAATTTCTACACGAGTCGTCAAATGGCTTCTGCCGCGCTGCTTGTTTTTATTGCTTTTAGACACAGATTTCTCGGAAATATTAGTTTTTCCAAGTCATTTATGATTTGAGATGATTAGAAAATCTGATCAAATTGCGGTTCAACGACACTTCTCTATAAAACCTCTGTAACGGTTACGATCTAAGAAACTCACTTTTAATTCAACACATTCAGTATTACTGATTTGAAGGAAAGAAAAAAAAACAAAAATTACCAATTTTCTGTCAGTGGTCCGTTTTTTCCTGCGGTTCGTTTTGCACTCCCAGTCCGTTGTGTCCTACCCTCCCCTATTAGTTCTTGAACAATATCATGGAATTGGATGGAGATAGCAAAATTTTTTGCATAAATTCTTTTTATACAGGGTGACGTCAGTAGCTTGCTTACAAATTTCAGGAGGATATTGAATAGAAAATCGGGAATTCAATGGTACAAAAATTAACAAATTCCTGTAATAAATTTTAAATGGAATGTTAGAATTATTCAAAACTTCAGCCAATTACGTTGTGATTGACTGCTGCCATGATTGGAAACGGTGATGCAGCTGTCGATGACAGTTGATACGATACTTAATATCGCTCTTTATGTTGATAAAATTATCGGTTTGATTGCTGCCATGAACATTGCTCAAACTATCGCGCATAATGTCACTAAAATCATCGCAACTAATATCGCCATAATTGTCGTCGTCGTATACGAACCATTTACGCCCCGTTGGCTATACAACGACGATATCTCCTCACAATTTGTTAGCAAGGTGCTGACATACCCGCCCCAGCAAACAGTATGTCGACAATCTGTCGACAAATTGCCGATGTCCTATTAAATTTTAGATGGCACTGACAAAAATTGTTTTCTAGGCGGTATAAGGTGCAAGGTTACTTTTCGGAAAAAAGTCGTCATGGAAATAACCAATCCAAGAGCTACATTAAGGCTCGGGTGTACTATCTTTCGAATGTTATCTGGATTTTTTTCATCTTTCGTAATCCAAAATTGTCAATTGAGTGGTATATCATGTAGAAATTCCCAAAAATTATGATAAAATGATTTAAAAAAATAGAAAAAATTCTGAACTCTTTCAAAGGGCGTTTTTAATTGACATTCAGAATGAGTTGAAAAAAGTGGAAATTACAAATATCTGATTCGCTGTGGCAAATTATCTATTAGTTGTAATTTTCCATGGATAACAAAACACTAACTCCTCATGGGAAGTGACAGCTAGGTATCTCAATTTTCAAAACAGTGGTATGTAGTCATCTGCCATTTATATGTGATAAAAGTGTGATTAAAAAATTCTCCAAAATATTACACCTTTTTTCTAAGAGCCTTTTCCGTAATAAATGTCTTTGTGCAATGTGGGAAAAGATTTACGAAATCAGTCTTCCCCTTGCATGATATTGGGTGACAGGCCGCCATTTATCACCGTCAATCAGATGCATTTTTCAATTTCTTGTTATTCAACTTATTCTTAATATAAATTAAAAATGCTCTTTGAAAAAATTAAGAATTTTTTCTGCTTTTTTTGATTATTAATTCATAATTTTTCAAAAATTCTGCATGCTGCAGGACTTAATTGACAATTTCAGATGACGAAAGATGAAAAAAAACATCGAGATAACGTTCGAAAGATAGTACACCCGGGCCTTAAATTAAAAAATATTCGCCTCAAAGCCATTTGAATGAAATTTCCTGGAGTTCTTTTGAACTAGAAATGTCAATTTAAGTTTGTCATTACCGGAGTGGAAATTGCTTCAGACCCACCTGAAAGACGATCAGAACTTGATCAGGTTTTTGTAAGGTTTGACTGATTCGGTGATTCCTGACGAGAACCTGACCAAGTTCTGATCCAGCAGATCGGATCCGAAAAACTACAGGCGGGGTCAGATCAAGTTCTGATCAGGTAGACATGATCAGATGATGCCTGATGAGAACCTGACCAAGTTTTTATCCAGTAGATCGGATGCGAAAAACTGCAGGATGATTCAAATCAGGTTCTGATCAGGTAGGCACGATCTCATACTGAGGTCGGCTGCCTGACCCCAATTTGATCAAATTCCGATTTGATGTCTTTGATCGGCATTTGAACGGGGTCAATTGAAGAGAAAATGATAAGATTCAGATCCGGTCCACCTGATATTAATTTTAATAAGTTTTTCGGATAATTTAATTAACTATTATTATATTATTCAAATTAAGTTTTATCAACCATTATCAATAATTATTTTCAATGTTTAAAAAGGATCATTATACTATAATTAAAATAAATTAAATTGACTTAACTTAATTTAATGAATTTAAGTTAATTAATCAACTTAATTAACAACCAGCCCTTCTCAAATGTACAGAAGGGAGGGATGATGATGCCGTGAATACTTATTAGAGGAGTATGAAATTTAGACGCAAATGATCTTGAGAAAAAAAATTACCAAATGTCTATTTATTTATTAGTGTTATTGTTATTATCATTATTATTATTCATTAATAAAATGAATAAAAATTTAATTGAACATATTTTATCTCTGAGAATACACACGCACATCCGCGAGATCAGGAATAATCGTAAATTCAACGAATACCCCGATACAAATCATATAGGCAATGTACAGTTTACTCAATAGTACACGGAGAGAAAAGTCAGAGAATTTTTGTGGGGAATTCCGGGAAAAATTCTAGTGCTGCACTAGAATTGAGGCGCAATGTGCCAGCACAAAAATTTTCCCTTCGGCACTCGAAAATTTGTGGTTTCATCACGAAATCTTCTTTATCGGCAAACGAAAAATACTCGACAGACAAAAAAATTTTCCCCAGCCACGAATTTTTTTTTCCCTTAATTATTCATTAATAACATCAACGTTATTTAGTAGATATGGAATGCCGGTTCGAAATCACTAAACCGGAAGTGACGTCATGAAATGGCGGAAAATTTGAAATTTCCTGGACCGGAAGTGACGTAATGGCGTTCCCACCAATAGGAGTCGAGAACGGAGGTCACGTGACTAATTTTAGAAGAGGCGGGAAAATTTGAAGGGATGTTGTGGTGTGGAGTTTGAAATTTGCCGCAAGGCGGCCTGGCATGAGGAAGGGGGAGGGGCGCGTGGTGAAGGGGGGGAGGCAGCGCGCTGAGATCGAGCGCGGGGAGGTGGCGCGCGGAGATCAGTTGTTGGCGAGGAGAGCGCGGCGAGGGGGGAGGTGTCGGTTCGAAATAAAATTTGGGTGAGGGGGGTCACGGTAAGGAGGGACGATGTGCGGCGTGGAGGGAGGAGGCAGTCGTGCATATGCAGTTGTCGTGAGGATGACATCACATAGGGGTGGGGATTACTCGTAGTTGGCGGGAAATTTGATTTTCTCCAGTGTAAGTGATTCCGGCAGTCGATAATGTAGAGTTCTCTAGTAGAGGACTCTGATGTGAATCTGTCTGCGGGATTTTTCAAGTTCTGAAAGTTGCACTCTGATCTTCTGAAAGTTACATTCTGATCTTTGATTGCTAAATTTTGATTTTCCGAAAGATACATTTTGAATGATACATGCTAATTTGTCATGCAATGTTCTCAAGAATAAAAAGGAGATACACAAAATCTATTTTTCATTTAAAATATGATGTTTTTTAATCTTCAACATTACATTGGAAATAATGCATTTTTTTACTCATTGTTCATTCTTTGTATAAATTTACACAAAGAACAGTTCTTTATCATAGATGGGTGTCAAGAAGTATGATGTAGGTGGGATATGAATTTTGAATTATGAAGAAATTATCGGGGTAGAGATGAGTTCAGCAGTCGGCAATACAGAGCTCTCCATATGATTCCATTCGCGGGATTTTTGATTCTTATTCACTAACATGATTTTCTTAAGGACAAAAGGATAATGAAAGAAATATAACACAACGTATATATGTAATATATTTTTTTATTTTTAACAATTAATTGTAAATATTACATTTCTCATATAATTGTTTCTTGACAGTTGATTAGTAAATGAGAAATATTCCAGTTGTTTCCTTCTTATAATCTTCCATTTTCTTGGAAGATTTACATAAGAAACACTTCTTTATAATTGGTAGTGTCTTGGAAGAATGATTGTCCTTTTGCAAGTTCTCAGGCAATCTATCCCATACATCCTCGATGCTCTGCGAGGCGAACGTCAACAGATATTTTCGTCGGGAAGGCGGAAATTTCCCGGGTGCTCATTTGTTTGAGACTTTTCAGGTCACAGAAAATGTCTAGGGATCCATGTAGACTGACATTTTGATTTTGCACGTACCAAATTCTCCAATTTTTCACGTTTTCAAGAGCACACACGAATGGAATTGTTTCACAATCGTTATGGAAATTCGCACATTTCGGAAGCTCCAAGTCTGCCATTTCGTAGTTTGTACTGC